AACTAACACTTGGATATATTGAAGATTCAACACAAAAGTTTTAACAAAAACCAGTTTTAATACAATTGCAAAATATTTTTTTACTATGCATCTTGCCCATCAATCTTGAATTTTTTATATAACAATTTTTCGTATATAATAATTTTGGTAAAATAAAATTATTTTCAGATCTAGCCAAATTAGATATTTCAACAAAATCGTCCTTTCCATGTAAAATTAAAATTCGTCCCATTCCATGTTTAGTCATCAGTATCGATTTAGCGAATTAAATCTGCGAAATGTGTGCCATGGAATTGCGTGGATTTTCATGTCACGGTCAAACGCCGTAAAAGAGACATTGATGTTGAGGGGAGGAGGGAGGGGGTGGAGGGATGAATAATGTTTCCCGCTCGAAACACGAGTTTACATAATCGGGCGTGCTTTTGACGCAAACTAACCCGGGAATTATTTGTTTACCATTGCAGACGGCCATAAGTTACATGGCTGGGAACGGTGCAGCAGCGATGCTTGAGCTGGCGCTCTCTTTTGAAGGTGTGGACCCGAATTTGCCTGACAATGAGGGTAATACACCGCTCCATTTTGCCGCTCAGGCTGGTGAGTGATCGATTATGTCATTTGAATATCAAGTTACTGTAATTACGTGAAACGTGTACGAGATACCGGGAAAATGTCATTGACGTATTGCGGAAATCAATCCATTTGATCCTACAATTTTCCAGAATTCGATTTCAAGAATATTCGATGGAATCGTACGATTAAGTATAATAATATCGTTGCAAATACATTGTGAGATATTGCATTAAAGTACCTTAGACACTGTTTGAGTAGTAAAATATTTAAAAGTATGTGAATCTTTTTTGACACCGAATAGAATTCAACTGTTCTCATTAAGTATAAAGAATTCCTATTTTCGTTCGAGAAGCAGATCTTAAATGTTTTAATTATTTAGTGATTATTTAGAATTGAATTGAATTTCATTTCTTTGCTCGAATCCGAATTGAACCAAATCGACATATCCGAATCTAATTAAATCGAATCGTTGAAACATAACTTTTAATTAATAATATTATTATTATTAAATTAAATTTAATATATAGATAATTAAAACATTTTTAAACGTAAAAAATAATATTGATTATACATATATGTGTGATGTATTATTTTAATTATTAACTAGAAATATGATTTTATAAGATTGTCAATATATTCATATTCATATCTTTTGGATTCGAAATTTTCGAGTTGAGATTTAAATTATGGAGATTCAAATACTTATCTGATTTCATTTGATTCATATTTGAATAGTTTGCATCTCTAGAAATAATTTCAAACATCTCTAGAAATAGCTTAAACGGACGTTTTTCTCTTACGCTTCTTTCTCTCTTTTTCCGGAACTCAGACTATCATCTTTGGCAATTTATAACCAATGTTCCAAAAATGAATCTGACGAGATATGCAAGAGTATCTGACGGCCGCGTTTATTCATAGAGAAAGTGACAAGAATAAGTGTTGCATCAATCTTATGGCGTAAACGTAGCGATGAATAGGAGTTAAAGTTTTTGTAGTTAAAATGTGTTATAGTTTTTGTAGGAATCTTAAAAATAAGTTTATTCGGGAATGGTTTAGAACATAATTTACCTTGGTGTTTACTTCTGCTTTTTTACCACATAATCATCCTCCCTCGGTAAGTGGCCAACAGCTACATGGCTGCAAAATAACTGCATTCGTCACAATCACGGATTAGTCATGAACATAAAAAATAACAGGATGAAGTTTAAGAGATGCTTATTTAGGTTTGTAACTCATGGCGTTTAAAGGCTTAAATAAAGTGAGAAAATAACAAGCATATTAAAAGTAAATGATTATTAGATCCGAACCCCTTTTTTTCATTTCGTAATGCTAATTTTTTTACTGTACATATTATTTTAATACAGCGTAGAAAAATATAATATATTTTGAAAAATGCACGGAAAGCATATTTAGAAAATAGAAACGGCTTATCTAATCGGCGTTAAATCAAGTAATCTTTCGTCTGTCAAACGTCCTCCAAGATTCTATGATCCCGTTGTATTTTTCGCGAATGGGGATAATGTGCAGGGAATAGCGATAAAAGCCATTGAAAAATACTGAAAATACGCTTAATACCAAATCTGCCGGTGAATTTTTCGCACCGACATGGCACGAGGATCCCATCGCGTGGCACAATCGCCGAAAATAGCGGAGAACATCGAAGCGCCTCTTGCAACAAACGCGCAGCTATGTGATGACGCGTGCTGAAAAACGTTCCGAGCCAAAACATCACGAGTTATGAAATATATGAGGTCTCGCACGCGAATAAAATCAGTACCGATGATGTCAGTACATGGTCTCTGTTACGTATCTGTGGACAGGACAGACCGAATGCCTCAACATCCTTTTGGAGAGATGTCCGGATATCGAAGTAGACGCTAGAAATACTTTGGGCTTCACGCCGCTCATGAAAGCCGCCCTTCAAGGTAGAACCAAATGCGCGAAGATTCTCTTATTCGCCGGTAAGCAAGCAATTCAGTGCAGACTATAATTAATTAATATATCTAATTTATTGCGAGTAATAATCTGTAAGATAATAAATCTGTATAGCTGGCACACAAGTAAGTGATTCAATATATATATATAATCTTATAATTAATTCTAATTTATTTTAAATAATAATGTTAGATAATGATCTAATATAATATATAATATAATAAATTAATACAATAAACATAAATATTAATCTACAATAATAAATAAATCCATAATATTCAATTAATGAAAATCAAGTGTTTTTAATAGTAAAATGGGGTAACTTTGGCTTAATTAAAAAAAATGTCTTGAAAGCACGCATGTTCATATCATCAGGACATAAGAAGTTTTAATTTAAATAATCTTTAGAATATTTTTGTGATATTTTATATTCTGATTTTGATATACATGCCTTCTGGGCAATATCAAAATAAAAAGTTATCTCATTTTATGGTATCATAAAAAATATGATTACAAAACATCACGAAATATTTCTTAAGATTTATCATCTACGCCACCTGAGAATTATTTTCGTGAATTCCTAGGTGCAAATCCCACACTACGTGATCACGGTAGAGGCCTAAGAGCTGAACAATGGGCGAGGTTTTGCGGCAGGTATGTGTGCGCCGAGATGATTGAGAGATTCGCGAGACATCGTCTGTTAGAGAGAACGACGTCCTGTCGTTGGGGTAGCGAGCCCGAGCTCGCTGCGAAAGTATTACAAGGAAAGGTAAATAGCGCGATATGTCAAGTCTCCTCTTAATCGGATTTCTGTCGGATTTTGGAAGACATAATCCTTACAAACTATGCCAGGTGACGCCTATACCTTCAACGCCTCTGCCGCAACCCTCGGGGCTAAAGTCGAAAATAAGAAAAGTCTTCCGCACCACCTCCAGCCCCGACCGAACCTTCTCTCTGGTGTCGCAGCTCACCAGTGCGGCTCTGTGCGCGAGCAGTCCGGCTCTGCCGAAACCGTCACCTGTTGTGAAAAGTCTTCTGCGACCGTTGAGCGTGCCCCAATTAAGGTGCGACCTTCATCAAGGAACTAAAACTTTTTGAGTCATGCCGATCAATACTTCGTAATCACATTTTTCAACGAGTGCAAACTTTGCAATGTTTTTGACGTTTAGTAGAAAATTACAAGCAGCTTCAAAAACAAGTAGATAACGTTAAAATATTAATTGGATATTTTCTTTAAAACACGTTTATTCGATAATTTTAATTTTAAAGTAAATGTCAATTCAAAAGAGAAAATAAAAATTTGTGCTATTTTTCAGGGTGACATTGGTTTCGCAGCAGGATTTCCTGGAGAAAACGTCTGAAAAGTATGGGACAAATTTTACGGATAAGATCGAAAACTCCATGGCAAAGCCGCCACGCTCGAAGAAGAAGAGCAAGTAGTCGAATGTAAAGGTTTCACGATTAAAATTGCGGGCCGCGTTTAGTCATCCGTTTGCATTGAACACACGCGAGCGGAGATTGAAAGGTTTAATCGAGCCTGTTTGACATAAAGCAGCGAGACGGACAGAGTATTTATGATACATTTGAGATCATTTACATATTATCCGATTCCGCTATTGCCTGTAACCTGGCCGATCGTTCGGAGCCGCGGTCCCTCAAGTAGATCGTAGGTTGTTCGTTTTTACCTCGCCAAGAAATATTAGCGATGCATTTCACCCGAGAGAACGTTTCGCGAGATCAAAAGGGAGGATCAACCTTCGAAACTTCGATCGTTGCCGATACAACCACGATCCAGTCGGCAGTTGAAGTTATGTTTATAGTCCTCGTACTCGAGATTGTTTTCGATGTAAACCACCGCCATGGCCGGACGCGTAAACATTCGGAACGATCGAATCTTATTTTTAGTTTAAATTTATAATGGATTGCGCGCGAGACGTGATGAAACAAGATGCTGCGCGTGCGCAAACGCGGTTTACAGAAGATCGCAAAGTTACAATCGAGAGATCGCATTGATCGTGATACTGAAAGTTACCTCCTCCCCACCAACCTTGATAAATGGAATCTCGATTTTTTCCAGGAAACGTGAGTATGTAATACTCGTATCAGACTAGAAACTGAAATTAGATTGGATTGGGCTTTAACTGATCAGAAGAAAGAAAATTATATCAAGTTTAGTGAACTTTGCTTTGATTGGTCAAATTTTAATTCAATCTTAATCTCTAATCTGATATGAGCTTAACTTGAAGCACGCGCCGAAGCGAAGCTTCAGAGGTTTCTTACCGATTAAAGTGTTAAAGATAATCGAATGGACTTGCGATTAATGTGTCGCAGGCCTCCCCCTAACTTATAATACACGCGTTTTACGTACAAGATTTTATATCGATGCAGTTACTGTCAAATGGTTGTTTAAATAAATGTCTTATTAATCAGTTACTGTCTTTTGATTATACACAGTTGAAACACAGAGATTGGCGTATTTGGAGATTCTTTTGTCGAGTCTTTGTTTTTTATTGATCCTTCAAATCAAAAGCACGCTCATTTATCAGAACGACGATTTCGTCGTTGCCGGCGATTCTTCGCCTGAGACAGGATTTCATACGCCTGTTGGATTTCCATAAATTTTTCTTGAGCCTCGCGCCTTTCCTCCTCCGAACCTTTAACCTTGTCAGGATGATTGTCCCTGGATAAACTTCTCCATCGTGCCGTGACTTCGTTCTGCGAAGCGGTTTGCGAGAGACCCAGGACCTGCGGAGAATGAGAAAATATTAAGAATTTCTTACGCGTATTTTTTAAACAAAAAAAATTATAAAATTTTATAAAAGAATTACAAATTTTTCTATATTTTTCTGTAACGCCCGTATTCTTTCCAATTCTTTTTCTATATTGTATTTGTATGTGAAAATAATATAAAGGTAATACAAAAAAGTTTGACGGCAAGCTTGGATACAAAAAATTTGATAAAAAGTAACATTAAAAAAAATAATTAAGATAAAAATGAAAAGATTTTATTTAAACTATAAAATTATATTGTAAAATAAAAGTATTGATCTTATTGAAAAATTTTATACGTATATATATATATATAACATCAACTTTTATACGAAAAGTATAAATTTCTCATTTTACTTGCTTTTTGTAGAGACTTTTGTATATACACCTGATACATTCTTAAGTTACTTCTTTCTAAGTAAATTTGAATTCTAAATCTAATAAAATTTCATAAACGGCCGACCTTGTAAGCATTTATCTCGCCTCGAGGATCCGTGAGGTCCACCAGTTGCGCCCACGTTGCCCAGAAGCCTTGATGTCTCGCGTGGTTCCACGTGGCCTCCAAACTCGCCTGTAGAATAAAGAATATCAGCATATGAAAGAGACCTCTCAAATCTCAAGGAATTTACTGTTTTAACCCTCCAGAGCCAAAATCTGTATGCTGGATCTATGAGATACATTTAATTTATGTTGATTGAAAGGTACTAATCATTTGCAAGGAACCAAAGTGACATGACTTGTATAAAAAAGAGTAAATACTAACAATAAACTTATTTTAATAATAATAATTTAAATTTGCAGATAAAAATTATAATTGAGTGAGTTCAATAGGTCCATCGTCCACTTTGGAGAGTTAAAAATTCAAAAAATTTATCGTAGATACCCACCTTGAGATCTGTCCAAATTGGCGAAGTGAGGAAGTGTTGCACGGCTTCCGACAGCTTGATCTCCTCGCCTTCGCTATCCGTGATAACCGCGTTAAAGTATAAGTAGCTACCGATTACGGCAAAGAAGAGCATGAGAGCTAAACCTAAGCAGGCCATACGCCGGAAGAAGCTTCTTTTCTTTCTCGGTTTCAGCCGCCATTGCTTGCTGAAAGTGTCGAAGCTGAGACTCGAGGTAACCACCATGAGGAAGATCCACATGGTATCGTCGGCGATGTAATATAAAGTCGGATAAAATAGATATGCTGTGGCAAGAGCTATCCATATCGAACCTTGTTCTCTCCCAATGTTCCCGACCGTCCAGACACCTATTGAAGTATTAATAAATGAATAAAGCCTTTTATAAAATATTTATATTTTTACATGGAAAAGATTTTGCTGAAGAGTATCTAAAAATTTAGCTAAATACAGATCTGAAAATGATTTTGTTGGATCATCAAAATAATTATGTACTTTCTAAAATTTTTATACCGGAATCTAATTCTAAAGAGTGAAATCTGATTCCTAAAAATTGACAACTGAGTTATTCTTTTTCACCACTGACAATTGTCACTCTTTAGAATTAGGTTCCATTCCAAAGATTTTAGAGAGTTTAGACTGATTGCTAAAATATCAAAACTTTTTGTAACATTGCTTATCATGCTCTTGAGATTTTTGAATAATTATTTTAATAATCCAAAAAATTACTTTCAGTAATTTATAATAAATTATTATCTAACTCTCTTCTCTCTCTAAATTTTTATATATTTTAGCAAAATCCTTCTTTTCGTGTAAAATTTCTGTTTTCTAATTATTTATATACATATAATTTAATATTATTTTCATATAAATAATAATACATTATACGTATTAAGATAATCCTGTAATAATAATAACAAATAAATCCTACTTATTATATTTAATTGATTTAATCTAGAAACTTTTATTGGCTCGATTATTGATATTTAATTATTATTTGCATAATACGAGTGATTTTACACCTTAAAATATTTTATTTACTTAAGGATCACTCTGTATATATTTATATACATATATGTATTATATACATACATATATTATATAAATAAAATATGTAAATATA